TTTTTTTTTTTTTTTTAGCATTTTCTTCTTTTTTGGCACCACAAGATGTTCCAGGTTCATCTTGCATTGTCCATGCTCTGACCTAGGAATCAGTTGCTTTTCCAAAAGTCCTGTTTCATTTTACTGGAGAGTGGTGTGGGGAGATCAAGCCCTGTGTTGTCCATGTGCTCATTGCTACTAGAGTGATATTTGCATTTAGGCCCTCAAAACAGAGAAGGCTAAGTATGCATGTGCACTAACCTGCATACCTTTCTCCTTCTCCCTCTTTAAAAAGGGAGAAGTTCACAAGTTCATTATGATACCCTGTGATTCTACACTGCTGCCACAGGAATCATTTCATGTCTGTCTCTTTTGTTATTTGTGATATCTTTTTCCAACAATGAGAGCGCTCCCAGGCTCTCATTATCTACAATACACACTGCATTGACTTGCTTGTTCAATTCCCTCAGTCGTCCCTCAGTATACATGCGGGATAAATTCCAGGACTCTGTCCCATACTAAAATCTACACACATGCAAGTTCCACTGTCTTGCCCTGCAGAACCCTAGTGAACGAAAGTGTCTGCCCTCCATATACATGGGTTTTGCACTCCTTGAATACTATATTTTCAAACCATATTTGCTTAAAAAGAATCTGCATATAAGTGGACCCATGCAGTTCAAACTCATGATGTTCAAGGGTCAGCTGTAAATTCATAAAGTACTGCTAGCCCACACTACTATGAGAAACATTTTTGCTAATGAGGTCACAGTATTGAGGCACAGTTTATTTATAGTATGCAAAGTCTCCATCTTTTTTAAGGCTTCATAATATTCCATGGTGTATATATACCACAATTCATTAATCCATTTGTGAGTCAATGGGCACTTGGGCTTCTTCCATGACTTAGCAATTATGAGTTGGGCTACAATAAACATTCTGGTGCAAATATCTTTGTTATAAAGTGATTTTTGGTCTTCTGGATATATACCTAGTAGAGGAATTACAGGATCAAATAGCAGGTCTATTTTTAGATCCCTAAGTGATCTCCAAACATCTTTCCAAAAGGAACATAGTTTGTATTCTCACCAGCAGTGCAGAAGCGTTCCCTTTTCTCCACATTCACGCCAACATCTATAGTTTGGGGATTTTGTTATGTGGGCTACTCTTACTGGAATTAGATGATATCTCAAAGTGGTTTTGATTTGCATTTCTGAGATCCCTTTTTAAAAATAAGGCATGAGTTTCAAAAGGCTGAGAAATATTAGGTACACTGGATAATCTCCAACCACTTTAAAGTAGAAGAATTCTAGAAAAAGCACAAAGGCAAGATGGCCAGTTTTCAGCAAGAGGCTCCTGTCCACAGGGAGCAATAAAGGCCAGAAATAACCCAATAAAGTGGAAGATCTGGAACTGAGCTGAGAGACAGGATCAATAGGTTTGCATCACCCCTGCTGCAACAAGCTGGGACTCCAAAGAAACAAATTTCAGGTACAAAACCCATCCCAAAGAGTATGGGAATCCTTCCCCCCCATCCCCAGGAGAGCTGCTTGAGGTGAGTAGAGAACAAAAGACCTTTTGTTTCACCAAAGGGGAGAGAACAACTGAGGGTTGGGACTCCCTCCCTGGAGTCTCTTGCCTGGGCCAAAAGTTGATCTAATATTCTTCCTACCTTCCTGAACCCCCCAATTCACCCCTCCCCCCTCTCCTGGTGGTCTGGAAGACTCTCCCCTGAAAAATCTGGAGTGTTTGGCAGATTTTTGCTAGGGCAGGGCACCTCATGAGCTGTGGGGCAGTTGCACTGAGACTATAACTTTAAGAGAGGCAGGGAGTCACAAGAGGAGAGAGACTTGCCCCATGTTGGAGGGAGCATATCATGGGTCCCACAGTACTGACCAACTGGGACCGTGGCCCACCAGCTCCCTGGGTCTGCAGCCCATTGTGGGAAGCTCCCCGCAGGGCTCCTGTGAGCCATGGCCCACAGCAGGCGACCCCTGCCTGGTTCCTGCAACCCGTGTGGCCCAAGCTGGAGACTCCACTTTCTGCCTCCCCATCTGGCTCCTGCAACCCGCAGCCCATGCCTGGCAACTCCCACCTGGCTCCTGTGACCCACAGCCTAGGGCGGCAACTATGCCCTTTGGCTGCCTGCCCAACTCCTGAGACCCCTGGCTGGGAGTTAGTGACTCTGCCCTTTGGTTCCTGGCCCAGCTCCTGAGACCCGCTGGCCTGTATCTGGCAACTCCTGGCTAACTTCTCCAACCCCTGAGGCCCCCAAGGCTGGCAACTCCACCCTCCAGTTAACCACCTGGCTCCTGCAGCACAAGACCGGGGGTCAGCGGCTCTGCCCTGAGGTTCCCCACCTGGCTCCTGTGACCCTTGCAGCTGGTGGCAACACCCTCCAGCTCCCTGTCAGCTCCTACGACCTGCAGTACAGCAGACTGGGTACCACCCCGACAGTGGTAGCCCCACCCCTAAGAGAGTGGTAGCAGCTCCACAGTCCCTCCCACTGAGATCAAATTGAGCTGCCAGTGGACCCTCACTGCCTAGATGCTGAAGACCTTTTGAACTCTCCCACATGATTGGTGTTTGTGTCTACTGGGACAATTGGTTTGGAACTCTTGACCTGGGCCAATCACCCAGGGACCCACCAAGGTTGTACCCTGGTTGTGTTGTTGTAAGAGTGTGGGGTTCTCCCCTTCCAGTTGTTGCCTGTGGAGGGCAGGGTGCCCTAGTTGCTTATATATCTCCACAGCTGAGATTTCAGCCCAAAGCCACTGATTCACTAGGATTGCACAGAGATAGCTGAATACTGGTCAGTGCCATCTAGCCCTACCACACCAAGCAGGTCCCCAGAGTTTCAAGTATTAGTTCTAAATGGGACCTTTGTAAAGCTCTAAGGGAAAAGCTGCAATCAATAGTCCCAGTTCCTTGGTAAATGGCTGGTTAACTACCACTCCAGGAGCCGTGAATTCAATTTCACTTTGCCAGCTTCTCTAGCCAAATGGTGAAATATAATCATGGGGCAGAATCAGTGGAAAAACTCTGGCAACACAAATAATCAGAGTAGATCAACTCCCTGGAGGAATGAGAAAGGAGACACAACAGAAAATTCCATTCATAAACAAATAGCTGAGAAGTCAGAAATTAAATTCAGAATTTGGATTATAAATAAGATTAACAGAATGGAGGTAAAGATGGAATTAAAAATTCAAGGAGAAATTCAAATGTTATCTCAAGAATTCAATGAATTCAAAGACAAAATCACCAAAGATTTTGACACATTGAGGCAAGAACTTGAAGCCCTCAAAGATCTGAGAAATACAGTAGAATCCCTCAGTGACAGAATGGAGAAGGCAGAAGAAAGGATCTCTGACACTGAAGACAAAGCTTTTGAACACTCTCAAATGCTCAAAGAGGAAGAGAAGTGGAGAGCAAAAATGGATTATTCCCTGAGAGAACTGTGGGACCACTCCAAAAGAGCAAACATTCACCTCATAGGAATCCTTGAAGGAGAAGAGGATGGTCCTAAAGGCACAGATACTCCAAGTAATTGAGAACTTCCCAAGCATGGCAAAAGATACTGAAATTCAAGTAGCAGACAGTTTCAGAACCCCAGCATGACTCAACCCAAATAAAACATCTTCTAGACACATGGGAATTAACTTTGTCAAAGTTAATATGAAGGAGAAAATCTTGCAAGCAGCCAGATGTAAGAAAATCATAACCTATAGGGGGAAGAATATTAGAACGACTGCAGATCTCTCAGCTGAAACATTGCAAGCCAGAAAAGGATGGTCATTGACCTTGAATCTCCTAAAACAAAACAACTTTCAGCCCAGGATCCTGTATCCAGCTAAATTGAGCTTCATTAATGATGGAGAAGTTAAATACTTTTAATGACATACACATGTTGAAGAAATTTGCCATAACCAAACCAGCTCTTCAGGATATCCTCAGACCCATCCTCCCTAATGACCAGCACAATGCTCTACCACCAAAGTAAACTCACTCTGAAATTCTTGACCAAAACCCAATTTCCACAGTGGTGAAAAGATTCAAAATGTCCACTGGAGTTTCGAAAAACTTGACACCCAAAATACTACCAGGCTTATCAATACCCTCAATTAACGTGAATGGCTTAAACTGTCCTCTTAAGAGGCACAGGTTGGCTGACTGGATACAAACACACAGGCCAGGTATCTGCTCCATACAAGAATTTCATCTTACCTTAAAGGATAAATATAGATTCAGGGTGAAGGAATGGGCATCTGTAATCTAGGCAAATGGAAATCAGAAAAAAGCAGAGGTGGCAATTTTATTTACAGATACACTAGGCTTTAAACTAACAAAATCAAGGAAAGACAAGTATGGTCACTTCATGTTTATTAAGGGAAATACTCAACATGATGAGATGTCACTTATTAACATTTATGCGCCCAACCAGAATGCTCCTCAATTTATAAGGGAGACCCTAACAGACATGAGCAATGTAATATCTTCCAGCACCATAATAGTTGGAGATTTTAACACTCCTTTGGCAGTGTTGGATAGATCCTCCAATAAGAAACTAAACAAAGAAATTTTGGACTTAAACTTCACCATACAACAAATGAATTTAACAGACATCTACAGAACATTTCATCCTAACAAAACTGAATACACATTCTTCTCATCAGCCCATGGAACATCCTCCAAAATTGATCACATCTTAGGTCACAAGTCTAACCTCAGCAAATTTAAAAGTATAGAAATTATTCCTTGTATTTTCT